CTAAGTTACGGAAAGTTAATTAACAAACGAAGACGTAACAATATTGTTTAGTCATTTTATCAAGCTTGCTGCCATGGCTTTAAAGAGTCAGAGTGGATGCAAATTAAAAACAAACATTACTATACTTATCTGAACCCTATCTTCAAAAGCCAGAGAATGACAATTTTATTGTCAAATATCAACAGTGATTTATATATATATAATAAAAAACATCTCTTTTTATCATTCACTCGCAATTTTGATTTAACACTAGGTATTGAAAATATTTTGGGAAAGTGAATTTAAGTTGAAACAGTTATTTGGGTTCATTTCTATCACGTGTGCTAGAGTCTATATAAAAAGTATAGTTAAAACTTAAAGTTTAACGTAAATACTAAAATATTTTTCTAAAGCAAATTATCTCTTTTTTTAATTTATTATTTTTTAAAGTATATTGTTAAACGGCACTTACGGCAGTCGACACTACTAACAAGAAAGAAAAGTTACGTTGTTTGAAGTTTTGCTTTAGAAGTGTTTGGTACGCTGGAAATTATAGTTTCGTGCAATTTATTGTATAGACTAGGACGCAGTGTATAATTTAAATAGTGATTTTGATAAAAGAATGCGTCGAGCTCATCAGTCGAGTAAGTAAACTATTTCTAGAATAGTACTACTCTGTAATTAGAGTAGTGACTTAGTAATACTACTACTATTATTACTATTAGGTATACTAGTACTAGCACAGTCCGTATGGTTGGTTTCGAAAGTTGCTACAGTGTACGTTCACTAACGACACGTCACTATTGTTTTTACCTCGACCTCAAAGGTTGTCTATTAAGTCTAAGCGTAGTATCTGTATTTTATTGTTCATATTAACATTAATAGTGCCTACAGACTACATTAAATTTAATCAAGAATTTAAGAGGCCCTGAACTTCGTTTACTTTTTTTAAAGACTTTTATTTTATCAATAAAGCATTTCATTAGTGTACTTGAGAAAATATCCAAATGACAAGAATAAGCAGGCATAATCGAGCTCTTAGCATTAATAATAATATTACATGGTGTAGGCAGATATTCTATAAAGAGGAAAATGAAGGAGGTAATACATTTGGAGGAAAAAGGAATTTAGGAAAAAGTGTGGAAGCCATACTGAAGATCCAAGGGCATGCTACTTCAGAAGATTTTATTTTCACCAATAATTGTACATTTTGATGTTATCTGAAGATATATGGATGCAACTTAGGAGGTGTTATTGCACCTGCCAGTGCCATACAAACTCTGCCTATGTGAATGTATTGCTGTTATTACAAACCTTTCTGTCAGAGTGTTACATCAGATTTGAGTTTGAGACTTTGCTCTCAGTTTGCTACATTTAAGTACTGTACATTTTAATAGGAAGTAATTGTGTTTTAATAAACATAACAAAAGTACTTAGGTTTTACAGGTTGTAACAAAACTTGCACAAGGTGAAGATATTGAAAATTGTTGTAAAAAAAGAAAACTGATTTCATGAGTTTGTGATTTATATAATAAAGCATTAGTTGAACTCTTTCATTTTCATGTAGAAACAGAAGATAATGCAAAATTACTTGTTCATAAGCAGAATGTTAAAGAATAACAGATAGTTATATGGTGAATATAAAAATGGTGATAATGTGAATAAAAGTCCGTCATAAATTGTAATTGCAGAGGAAACTGGCTGATTTGTTTCTTTACATAAACTTGCTTAATCAGTCTGAACTTGTTGATATTGAATTTGTAAACTAATGTGTATGAGACAAAGCACAATGTGGATACATATTGTTAGAAAAAGTTTTCTATATATAAAAGTAGAACTGATATTTAGGATAAATGCACAGTACATATTAGCTGATGGGTTCATATAGCTAGTTTGAAAATACACCTTTTGGATGATGGGTAACTTCTTTCTATCAAATCTAAGGTAAAAGTAAGACTTAAAGGTTTAAGTTGGATTTTGATATTATGATGCATAAATAAACTTATAATATGTACATATTTGGATAAATTAGAATCACTATATTAAACATGAATAGAATTCATCTGATAATGGTGAGCTAAATCAAAAACATTCAAATAAAAACAAAAATGTGTTCCATTACTAGCCTTTGTCATCATCATTAACTCATAATGGAAAATGTCTGTGGTCATAGCTTTCAAATGTATAAGGGATAGTCCATCTATCGGACAAGATCCAAACATAGGTGTCAGACTATTCTCAGCAGCTATGAAGAATAAGTTAAGGATTAGGAGTTGAGGACTTGAAACCACAATGTCTCAACTCCTATTACCTTTCACAGTCAGTAGCCAGTTGTGGGAAGGCAGTCACCTTTAATATTTAGGTATAAATAAACCACCCTAAGTTTCTACATTTGTAAAATTCCCAACTTCCACCCTTTTAAATATTATAAGATGTTCAGTAATGCAAACTTCCTCACCAAATAAGCAAAAGTGACCTTGTGGTAGAAATAAACCACCCTGTATTTCTACAATTTATAATATTCCTAACCTCCACTCTTTTTTTTAAAATAATTATTGCAAAGTGATGTTAAATAGAACTAAAAATCCTTGCCTTAATAGTTCTGCAATAATTACTTAAACTCCTATCTTCCTCAGTGGATGCAGTAAATTTAAGGGATGGTTTGACAAATGTTTAATTGATTGGGCTGTATTTGAGTTTTTAACATAGATGAGACAGATGAGCCAACAGGCCCTTTGTTGTCTCTTAAATGTTATGTCAAATTTACCAATTCTCAATTTATCATTGTTCCACTTTCGTTCTAATGTCTGTTTCAAACAAGAGAGTGTACATTTGCATGTTTATAAGCTATAGATTATTTCATTTTATTAGAAAAAATCTGTACTTTTCATAAACTTTTGATCTTATATTGTTGAAATTTATGAGTATTGTTAATGTTTTCAGCATTTTCTGATAAGAGTAGTTGATTATTGGTTGTGTAATCCAAGAATGATATAGTCAGCATATGTATAAGATTATCTTTATGCCATAGTCGTCTGTGTTTTACAATCAAAATGGGATAAACTTATATTTGTGCACAGTTAATTAATCTTAGTCAAATTAGATTGCCCTGTTTCATTTTTAGAGTAATCTAAAAGCAGATTATTGAAGACCACAGCAAAAATTAGGTTGCCATGAATTTTTTGAATATCATAGTTACATACTTAATTTCATGTAGGACACTGTTATAAAACATTCAGTCAATTGCTGCAAAATTCCATTATACTTGTTATTGTGGTTAAGCACTCTCTAGACATCTCTGTACTTGTTATAGTACAACCTATGTTAAGTAGTACAATGAGTATTCATTAGACTGATATATCTAATGAAACTTTACAATTAACATAATAGTTTTCTCAATCGTAAGTAAATCTATATAATAAGCAATATAATATAATACAATTATGGCATTCTAACTTGCACTATTGTCAAAATGACCATATAAGTAATAAAAGTGATTGCATAAGAGGATAAGTCTGTGCTTCAAGGCTTTTGAGTGGTTTTATTATACTAGTAAGATCCAATTTACTGCACAGAAGATAAAAATAGATATTAGATGTGGTACGGAAGGCTTGTGCTGTTTTGATTATCTGGGAGGATTTGTGATTTATTCAGTTTAGTACTTCAGAGTTTGGTAACTTATTAAATGATCAATACTTTACATGTGGATGAAAAATGTATCTTCTTATAATGGAGCTTGTGATGTATACATCAAAAACTCGGTTCTCTGAAACTATCATAATGATCATCACCAATCAAAACTGGGTAATATTTTTATAACTAGGCAGTATTTTTATACCTGAGCAATAAATAAAACAATTGAAATTTCCACAAAAATGATATGTTTCAGATTTAAGTAATAAAAATTTCAAAAAAGGAGTAAGTTTCAAATATAAAACAATCAAAAAACAAACTTAAAAAAAAATATTTGTTTTTCTTTAGTGAAAATCTCATGAGTGTTGTAACAGAAAAGCAAGACACTCATTGATAACTGCATCTACAAATAAATACTTCAATAAAATCTACTCTGTGATGTAATGCTATGATGATGATGGCTCATTTTTAAACTAAAATTTCAATAAAATCCTGTTTCTCATGGTTGGTGAACATTACCGAATGTCAAGTAGAAGTACATTGTTATAGAACTGTCAGACAATTCCAGAAAAGGCCAAAGGAAATAGTAGTTATACCTGTCCGGAGGGCAGGTATTTTTCTAGTTTACTTAATTACATGAGGTATTGTAGATAAATATTAATCAGATTGTAAGAAAATATTTATGGTAAGGTTGTGGTGATCAATCATTTTAATGGTTAATAGCCTATATATAACTAGATGACCACATAAAAAATATAACGTTACTTACTTATAATTAGACTTAGGTGATAATATAGGCTGCTAACCATGACAAAGACTGTAATAAGTGTGTGTAGAATAAGGTATGTATATTTGATTTCTCAGCTGTTGATATAATTAATATCTGACCAATACAGCTACCTCATGATGAATTCTGAAACTGCAAAGAAACGTATGAAAACACTACAAGGTTAAAATAATCATGTGGATAACTACAGGTCACATTATAAAATACTACAAGGTTAAAATAATCATATGGCCTAATACAGGTTACACTAAAGGTTTCTATAACTGAAACATTGGCCACCTACTTTTTCTTATAACAGTTTTAATCATTTCTTTGTAATGTCAGGCCTATAGTTACAAGTTTATTAAAATGTTCTTATAAATTTTTTGCAAATATTTTGGTTTTTTTAGAGGTATAACTGATTCATTTGTCTAAAAATATAGATTAGAAATATTTTCATTATTTAAATTGTATCTGTTGAACAAAGATGGATCACCATACTCGCAGTACTCTCGAGATGCTGTGGAAGAAGAAAATGAAGAGATGGTTGAAGGACTAAAGACAAAAATTACTGCCCTAAAATCAGTAAGTTTCATAAATATTTCAATAGCTTAAGTACCTTTTTATAATTTTATGTGAGAAGATGTTTGTTTTAAGAATATTTTAAATTCCTAGTTTAAGATTTCTTCTTCTTTTAATGTAATTATTAAAATATGGTAGTTTTGAATAAATTAATGGTTTTATAATAATCAGTTGTGATTACTGATAATAATCTAGCGTTGATATTTATAAAACAATCAGTTGTGATGTAGGTGTATCACCCTTACCAGCTAATGGCTGCCCTTCTTATTCGTGGCCATCACATTTATTTTTCGCACCTATTTTACAATCAACATGTTTAAACTCACAAAGATATGAAACTTTAAATACCCAGCATAATGATGATATTTAAGATGATAGAAACTGATAGTTTTGGGTTTAAGTTCTAGTCTGAAAATTATCAATAAGGTTCTATTTAATGTCCTTTGTGCATTATATGTACTTAAGAGTTTTTTATAACTTATTAACAACTCATATTATATGTGATATTTTTTTTAGCTTTCCATAGATATTGGTCAGGAAGTAAGAAGCCAGAATGGATTACTGAGAGAAATGGTAAGATTGTATTGTTTTATTAATGCACCAAGGTAAAATATTTATTTTATGTGTAAAACAATTACACATGTAGTTGTGTTCTAGATATTAACTAAAAGATCATTACTTCAAATACTGATGTTATTTAATACAAGTAACTACTGCTACAAATTTCTGTTCTTGCCAATAAAGAAGCTTATGACTTTTTTTGTTGATGAGATTTTCACAAATATTGCTGAAAACAAGTTATCAAGCTTAGGTTTTTTATTATTATTTTCAAAAGAAGCAGAAAGAGTATACAGTTGTACAAATTTAAAATATTGGGCAATTTCATCTTCATAGTGGAGTCTTGCACTGCATACTCTGTCTTGTTGCTGAAACAAAGTCAGTCTTCTATAAAGGCAACGACTTTCTTTATAAAAAACAAACAAAAACTTTCACATTGTTTTAAAGACTCATTTTCTTCCATTTAATTTGATATCAACAAATTGGCCCTTTTATATACTGTTATAATTTTGATTGTACCTATTACATAAATGTGAAAAGAAAATGAACAGTTGGTTACTCATCTCTAATCACCTCAATTTTCTATATCTAGTACATTAAACAGTATTTTAACACCACAAAACAATGATAAAACTACAAAAAAAATATAAGCTCCTACATTGTAAACTTGGATAGCTTAGTAGGTAATGTCTAATAAAATACTTTTTTTCTAGTGAAAAATAACTTTATCACCATTTTAATTTGCAAGCTTTTGTAAAAATAAAATTGCCAAATAAATGCAGATGGTTAAAATGGCAGTCTACAGCACAAGCACTGTTTATGTATTAAATTTAAAACTTTAGTTAACTGCAAAATATTAAATATTTCAAAAATATAGTTCCTTGATCTTTGAAGTTGGGAGAATTTTGCTAACCTTATAAACTGGGAATACTTTTCACTAAATTTCATTACGCTTGTTTTATTTTTTCCATCTGTTAATGTCATTTAGAAACTATTGTGTTGCTCATTTTTGTGACGAAAGTTAACTTGCACTTTAATGTGATTTTATTTTATATTCTACAGGATGGTGACTTTGATTCCTTTGGTGGTATTTTGTCTTCTGCAATGGGAAGATTGGGCAAGCTTTCAAAAGCTGGACACAATAGATATATTTTTTACTTGCTATTATTTTCTTTCTTTGTATTTTTTGTAATATATCTTATTCTGAAATTCAGATAAAAATGGAAAATTGTAAACCACCTTGTGAATAAACTGTTATTGTTCATTATTTGTAAAATGAAACTTTGTAATATATATTACATTTTAGCAGTTGGTGATGTTTAGCTAGGATTATTAGACATTCCAATTCTTAGCCTTTTCCTTTTTTTTATCCTGTCAGAAACCATGAAATTATTAAATTGTCCCAATTTCTCTGTACTTTTATGCACATTTGAAATGTAAGTTTGTTGTTATATACAGGTCCTGTAAATTTTATTTGAAGAATCACCTGTGAAAGACATATCACGTTATCTTAGCCAACCCTGTCCTTGGGCAGTTGCAGGTATTGAGATTTGAAGACTTCCCCAGTTGCAAAAAAGACTAATTTTTTTTTGAGAACATTAATAACAACTTAGGCTTGTTTTTATTTTATTTATTTATTTATTATTATTCTTCAACTAGATAAGCTTTTAGGAAATTTTGTTTATCTGTGATTTTAAAACATTATGCAATAAACATCAGACTATTTACCAAATGGTAAAAAATGTGTTATTGTAATTTAAATTGTTTCAGAGCCATTAGTGTCATTCCATATGGAAATCTGGTAACCCTATTCTTAAGTCATTCTCAACAATTTTTAGCAAGAAAAATTAGCATAAACTGATTATAAATTTCTTAAAATTTGAAACATCTATTTTAACCTACATACAAACTTGAATAAAAATATTTTCATAGTACTATGTGTTAAATCGTCAAACATGCTGAGAAGATGTTAAAAGTTGTACAAGTAAACATAATTTTAGTGAATTGCTTCATTAGTGCAGTAGATAAACTAATATTGATATTATTGAATACAGTTTTTACATTTTCTCTATAGGTAATGAGAAACAAAATATTTACAATGATGATGATGAAGACAAGAGTATTCCTGGTTTCACTTTGGATAATTAGTCATACCTGCAGTAGCGACTTCAACATATTAAGTACTTGTATGGTATTTGAAAAATACCGTTTTTTTTTTTATATTAGCTTAGAAAGGAGAGGTAATGTAAATGTTTGAAACACGTGCACACGTTTAGTGGTATGTTGCACGTGCACATTAAAATAACTATGACATGGTACAACCTTATTCTCACTTGTCATACATCATTCATTTTTGATGCTACTGAACATTCCCATAGAATGTGTAGCTTATGAATATTTGAATATTATATTAGTGATCTCTCTAGTGATATTAATTGCATAGAAGTATCTGGAAGCTGCGTGTTCTGTATTTTACTATATTGGTGATGAGTAACATAATACTTACAGTGATGATGAAGCCAAGAATATGCCTGGTTTAACTTTGAATAATTAGTCATATTTGTTACTTAATTTATGACTAAGAATTGTGCTAGGTAATTAATTAAATACAATTTTTATGAATAAACAATAACACGGTATGATTAATAATAACTATCAGTATTTAGCAGGCCCATTATTGATTTTATAATAATAAGAATGTATAATAGCATTTTTCATGTATGTATGTATATATATATATATATAAAGGGACCTGGTCAGCTATAGCTGACTGTTAAATCCACCCCTGGTCAGGGGTGGTCTGAGAAGAGGCACTGCCATCCAGTCAAATACATCATCAGAGATTGTGAAAAGACAATAACCTGAAATCCAAAGAAGTCCTTCCTGGAGTTAAATCATTACTTTTCAGTGCATTACAAGGAAGAGTGACACAACACTATATATTTTTACATTAAAATGTCCTACTTTATGGCAAAATATAGTTTACAACGCAATCTGAGCAAATAGTGTTAAATATAACATTAGCAAAGAGTGTTTTAAAATGAAAAATCATACTAAATATTTGAAGTAAATGTATCTAGAATGATTTATATCACAAATGAATTAGGTTAGTGAAAAAGGAAAAATTGAACATAACAGAACAAGCAAGTTAACACACAAAACAGTTGGTCCACATTATCACTGGTCAGTTTCTGGAATATTCTAAAAGTCAAAAAGAGTTCAATTAAAACACTAACAAGATGGCCTGGCATAGCCTGGTGGTGAGGGTACTTGACATACAACCTGCAAATCGCAGCATCGAATCCCATTGCTGAATGTTTCTCTTTTAGCCATGGAGGCATTATAGTATAATGTTCAGTCCCACTATCCATCGGTAAAGAGTAGCCCAAGAGTTAGAAAGGAGTGGTGTTGACTAGCTGCCTTTCCTCAAGCCTATTACTTCAAAATTAGGAATGGATCTTGCATGAAGCCCTCAAGTATGTTTGTGCAATAATTCAACAAACAAATCGAAGACAGTCATTAAAAAATTTGAACAATTTCTTGGAAGACTTTTAATAGTCAAAAATTTCAAATAGTTCTAATTTGAAGTACTTTGTGAAATAGGTATTACATTTCAGATACTACACCATGAGGCACATGATTATTATTAACCAAATAATTTGTCTACCAAACAATGATTTTAGTTTCTTAGTATAAATTGCAGCTAACATACTGTTAAAAAGAGTCATAATACAAACATTGTGCTTCAAACCAATTGTTTTACAAAGATAAGCATGAAAGTAAAATGAAAAATGTATTTTCTACAAAATTAAATTACATTTTTTCAAATGTACTTCAAGTGTTATAGATAATACAACAAATGAAAAAAAAAGTTTATTTCTACCCAGCTTCCAACAAGAAAAAAAGCTCAAATTCAACTAATACAAAGTGATTTAAGTTTAAATAACAGTGACCTTATTTCCATGTGATCAGCTCTGCATTAAAAGAGTTGAGTGTAGGATTTATCTAAAATTTTGTATTAACTCAGCCAGAGACATGGTTTTGGGTTCTTCAGTCTTCTTTGTTCCTCAAGCAATTTTTAGGATTCATATTTATTTTGTTCACTGCATATAAACAACAGTTTCTCAGAAGCCTTTTCAGATGCTACATATATGTACAAGTCTCTGTATTACCCCTGAGAATGTGCAATATCTCACTCCAGGAGGATATGATCCAGAAACATTTGCACAAATGCTTTTCACATTACGAATATTTAAACAAACATTTTCTTTAAAGAATATGAAGTTCCTAAACTTTTACATGCCATAGTACACTCTAAGGAATGATAAATCAAACAAATATTTTGCATTTATAAAACAAATACTGACCTTTTTATATATGTAGGTGTACATTTATTTAGAGCCACAGGAAGACTGCAGTTAAAAATGATAAGTATAAGCCAAATAATTGATCCACCTGCA